GTACCAGGGATCTGAGGGTGGAGGACCTAGCATTTCCAGGTCTGAGGGACCGAGAGTTGGAAATCTGAGCTTCCAAGGCATGGTCTCTGGGATGGAGGCCCTGGCCCTCTGACCCCTTCCCCATCCCCTCTGCTCACAGAGGAAACCTGCACCATGTTCTACCACCCAGAGAAGGATAAAGGAATGCTGACCAAGCTCTGCCACAAGGATATGTGCCGCTGTTCTGAGGGTGGGTGCTCCAGAGCCAAGAAAGGGTGGCCTGAGGGACCCACACCCCCCTGGATCCACTATCCCCATGGACCCCGGGCTGGCCACACCCATGGACAGTGGGTCCTGGATAAGAAGTGGGACTTAGACCATGTCTCCACTTCCACCCTACAGAGAACTGCTTCATGCAGCACCTGGATGAAAAGATCACTGCGGAGTACCGGCTGGAGAAGGCCTGTGAGCCGGGAGTGGACTATGGTGAGTGGGCACATGCACGTGTGGCTGTGTGCGAGTGATAGTGTGCGTGGCTGGGTTTGTGTGTGTGTCAGATTGTGTGGTGGTAGGTGTGGTTGTGGCTGTGTGTGCAACAGGCTGTGAGTGGCCATAGCTGTGTGTGACTGCCTCAAGCTGTGGGGTGGGTATGTTGTGTATAGGTGTGAGAAAGTGTTGAGAAGTGCTGTGATTGTGTGGGGAACCGTGGTTATGAGTGTGTGAAAAACAGGTGGTTGTGAATGTTCTTGTTGTTGGTATTTTGGGCAGCTGGCCAGTACAGGAATCTGGACCCTTGACCTTGATGTTACAAAGCTGTTCTCTAACGACCGGCCAGCCTCAGGTGGTTGTGAATGGGTGTGGTTGTGGGTATGGGTGTTTGTGCAACTGTGAGTCTGTACTTCTGCATAGCCATGGTTGTGTGAGGCTGTGGTTACAGATGACTGTGAATGTTAGTATTTGTCATTGTGTATATGGCTATAGTTGTGGGTGGCTGTAATTGTGTGCATGGTTGAGTGTAACTGTGTGTGAGGCGTTGGGTTGTGAGTGGCTATGGTTGTGCATGACGTGTGAGGCTGTGTTGTGGGTGACTGTCAATAGTAGCTGTAGCNGCTATGGTTGTGCATGACGTGTGAGGCTGTGTTGTGGGTGACTGTCAATAGTAGCTGTAGCGGTGTATATGGCTGTAGTTGTGGGTAGCTCGAATTGTGTGCATGGGTGTGTGTGTGATTGTGTATGTGGCTATGGCTGTGTGCAGTTGTGAGACTGTACTTGCCTGTAACCATAATTGTGTGAGACTGTGGTTGTGAATGTCAGTGGGTATGAATAGCTCTTGTTGTGCATATGAGTATATTTGAGAATGGCTCTAGTTCCGTTCATGGTTGTGTGTGTGGCTGTGAGGTTGTAGTTATGAGTAGCCTTGTTTGTGTGAGTAACCCTGCTTATGTGAGACTGTGGTTGTGGATGACAGTAAATGTGCATAGATGAAGTTGTGTGTATGACTGTACTTGTGAGTGGCTCTCATTCTGTTCATGTTTGTGTGGCTGTGAGGTTGTAGTTGTGTGTAGCCTTGGTTGTATGAGACTGATTGTAGGTAACCCCAGTTATATGAGACTGCAGTTGTGGCTGACAGTGGATACGAGTAGTTGTTGTTGTGTATATGACTGTACTTGTGAGTGGCTCTACTTGTGTTCACGGTTGTGTAGTTATGAGTAGCCTTGGTTGTGTGAGTAACCCTGCTTATGTGAGACTGTGGTTGTGGATGACAGTAAATGTGCATAGATGAAGTTGTGTGTATGACTGTACTTGTGAGTGGCTCTCATTCTGTTCATGTTTGTGTGGCTGTGAGGTTGTAGTTGTGTGTAGCCTTGGTTGTATGAGACTGATTGTAGGTAACCCCAGTTATATGAGACTGCAGTTGTGGCTGACAGTGGATACGAGTAGTTGTTGTTGTGTATATGACTGTACTTGTGAGTGGCTCTAGTTGTGTTCACGGTTGTGTGTGTGGCTGTGAGGTTGTAGTCGTGTGTAGCCTTGGTTGTATGAGACTGATTGTAGGTAACCCCAGTTATATGAGACTGCAGTTGTGGCTGACAGTGGATACGAGTAGTTGTTGTTGTGTATATGACTGTACTTGTGAGTGGCTCTAGTTGTGTTCACGGTTGTGTGTGTGGCTGTGAGGTTGTAGTCGTGTGTAGCCTTGGTTGCATGAGACTGTCAGTAACCCCAGTTATATGAGACTGTGGCTGTGGATGACAGCGAATGTGAGTAGCTGTAGTTGCGAGTGACACTCATTGTGTGTATGGTTGTGTGTGTGACTGGGAGGTGTAGTCACGGTTGTATGACACTGTGATTGTGGATGGCTGTACACGAGTAGCTGTTGTTGGATATAAGGCTGTACTTGTGAGTGGCCGTAATTGTGTGCATGCCTCTGAGTATGACTGTGTGTGGGATGGTGATTGTGTGACCACATGTGGTTGTGTGTGTTACTGAGGGGAGGGTGGACAGTAGCGTGACTGGCAGTGATCCCGCACTTCTCTGCTTGTGGGGAGCAACCGGTGCACTCTACCTGGATGTACTTGCTCGAGGGTGCCCCCCATGGTCAACCTGCCCATGACGCACACTGTCCATCTCTCCCCTCTCCTGTAGTGTACAAGACCACACTGCAAAAGACGGTGCTGTTGGATGACTTTGACGAGTACACAATGCTCATTGAGCAGATCATCAAATCAGGTCAGCCTCAGGCTGTCTTTCCACCCTGTTTCCTTCTCGCCTCCTCCCAACCCCATTGCTCAGCTTCCCTGTTTCTCTCCACTCCAGGCTCTGATGAGGTGCAGGTTGGACAAACTCGCACGTTTATCAGCCACATCAAGTGCAGAGATGCCCTGAAGCTGAATGAGGGGAAACACTACCTCATGTGGGGCGTCTCCTCCGACCTCTGGGGAGAGAAACCCAAGTGAGTGCTCGCTCTGTGCCTGCATGGCACCGTCCCACCCGCCCTTTCCCCTCCCCCTTCTGACTTGTCCTGTCGCCCCTCCTCCCCCAGCATCAAGTATATCATCGGGAAGGACACCTGGGTGGAGCATTGGCCTGAGGCAGAAGAATGCCAAGACGAGGATAACGAGAAACAGTGCCAGGACATCGGCGACTTCACGGAGAGCATGGTCGTCTTTGGTTGCCCCAATTGACGACCTACCCCATGCACTGTCCTTCCACCCCCCACCCCTCAATAAAGTTTCAGTTATATTTCACTGTCTCAAAGTCTGGAGTTCTCTGAGAGAGGGAAAGAGGCAACTGTGATCCCCAGTTGCCTCACCTGCAGCTGAGTTCCATTCTACCTGAAACCTCACCTGTTCTCATTTTATTCCCTCCTGTAGTTCACCTGAGAGTGTGCTGGCTACCTCACCCACAGAGCATGTGCCTGCCTCACCTGCACCTGGCCTGCAGTGCACCTGCATCTCCCCCGCATCACAGCTCCCTCCTTACCTGAATTCTCACTTGCATCCTTCACCTGCATCCTCACCTGCAGCTCACTGCCCCTTCACCTGAGTTCTCGCACACGGTTCTTGCTTACCTACATTCTCACCTGGATTCTTCCCAATATTCTATCTGAATCTTCACCTGCTTTCTCATCTGTACCGTCAACTGTATCTACCTGCATTTTTTGCATTCTCACCTGTACCCCACCCACATCTTTATCTGTAAGCTTTCCAGTATCTTTATTTTGACAGCATCCTTACCTGTGTTCTCACCTGTTTTTCCACCTGCATCCACTTCTGCATGTGCATTTTCTCTGCACCCTCATTTGGGTCCTCACCTGCATCTTTACCTGCATCCTTCTCTGGATCTCTTTTTGTGTGTTCTTACCAGCATCCTCACCTCCATTCTCACCTGCATATTTGCCTGACTTCTTTATTTTTAAAGATGACCGGTAAGGGGATCCCAACCCCTGACTTGGTGTTGTCAGCACCACGCTATCCCAAGTGAGCTAACCGGCCATCCCTATATAGGGTTTTTTTAAAGATGACTAGTAAGGGGATCCCAACCCCTGACTTGGTGTTGTCAGCACCACACTATCCCAAGTGAGCTAACCGGCCATCCCTATATAGGGATCTGAACCCGTGGCCTTGGTGTCACCAGCACCGCACTTTCCCGAGTGAACCACGGGCCGGCCCTTTTACCTGACTTCTTACCTGCACATTCTCCTGCATCTTTTCCTATGTCTTCCCCAGCACCATAAACCCACAGTCCTGCTCTACCTTCTCACCTTCATCCTCACCTGCACCTTTACCTGCACCCTCACCCGTCCTCATTTTCATCCAGTCTGCCCCTCATGTGCAGCTCACTCTCACTGTGTTTTCCATGTCACCTGCTTTCTATTTGCCCTCGTCCAGGCTCACCCAACTGTCCCAGTGTCCACTTTCTAGATGGGCCTGAACAGATGAGTCAATGTCTCAGGTTGGATTGTGTCTGGAGGCTGCAGCCAAGAGGGGGCAGTCAGGCGCAGCTGAGCAGGTCGGTATTTCCGGCTGGGGCCCAGGTCAGGGGAAGACGTGACTCAGCAGTCAGGGAGGTAGTGTGAGAACTGTTGTGGTCACAGAACACAGAACTGCGTGGGAAGATGCAGCCACCAGTGTATGTGTGTGGGCAGGGGGAGGGGTGCATGTTGCTGCTTCTATCTACACCTCTCGTCCTTTGGAGACTGTTGCAAAGCCATACTGGCAAACCCTCTCGAGCCTGAAAGTCACAGCCACACTATTCTGTTCCCCTAAGACCCCCAGGTCCTGGGAACCCCCACATCCCAACTCCAGGAATATGGGGGAAATTAACCCACAGGCCACCCCTACTCATAACTCCAGATTCCCAAAGCCAAAGGCCCCAGTCAAGGGGAGACCCAAAGTTCGTCCTCACGCACTAGTATCCCAGCTGACAGGTGAGTACACACCCTACTTCACGTCCCTCTTAATTCTTTACTTACTCATTTCCCTTCTCCTGTTTGGGATTCATTTTATTCATTTCTCGAACACATGAGAGTGTTTTTTGGTTTTGTTTGTGTGTTTGTTTTGAGCATCTATTCTGTGAGTTCTAGTCTGTGAAGATAGAATCTTATGACTCATATTCTAAAAAAGGAACAGGAAAGGACTCTTAAAGACAGCATGAAACTGATTTCAGACAGTGAGGATGTCCAAAAAGGAAAGTAGGACAGAGCTACCTGAGAAAGCTCACCTGGGTGGGGGTGGGGAGGGGTCCAGCAGTAGATCTTGCTAACAAGATACCATAGACTAAGTGGCTTAAAGCATTTATTTCTCCCTGTTTAGAGACTGGGCATCTGAGGTCAGGGTGCCAGCATGGGTGGTGTCTGGTGAGGGCTCTCTTCCTGATTTACAGACAGCTGCCTTCTTCCTGCATCCTCACATGGAGGAGAGAGGGAGCAGCTCGTGTCTTTCCTTACAGGGGCACGAATCCCATCATGAGGCTCCACCTTTATGCCCTAATTATCTTTCAAAGGCCCCACCTCCTGGTAGGTGGATTAGGATTAGGGCTTCAACATATGAATCAGAGCAACACAAACATTCAAACTGTAGCACTTATCTAGGGTGGCAGTGACAGGGATGGAAACAGGTGGTGGGATTTGAGATCTGGTTTGGCTGTTGAATCAACAGGGCTTGCTGAAAGGAGGAATATAGAGAAGACAGGGAGGAGTCCAAGACAACTCCCACGTCACAGGCTTGGTTAACTGGGTGGACAGTGGTTCCACCCTCTAACTCTGAGCTCCGGTTTAAAAATCCACGCACACACACACATTCATGCATGTACACACACACGTTTGCACACATGCACGCACATATACAGATATGTGCACATGTACACACACATGGATATTTACACAGGCAGCCCCCTGTACTCACACACACACACACATGCACACACATACCAACACATGTGTGTGCACACCTGCTTGTACATGCATGCACGTGTGCACACGTAGGCACATATGGGCATGCTCCCGCACATGTACACACACATGGATATTTACACAGGCAGCCCCCTGTACTCACACACACACACACATGCACACACATACCAACACATGTGTGTGCACACCTGCTTGTACATGCATGCACGTGTGCACACGTAGGCACATATGGGCATGCTCCTGCACATGTACACACACAGGCATGCATATACATGCATGCATACCTGAATATAGACACCCATTTGTACACACCCCACACACATGCACACACAATCGTGCACACATGGAGCACACCCACACCACTCCCCCACTCCACTTGTACTTTCCTCTGCACTTGTCCCACGGAATCACTACATATTATTTTCTTGTTCATTAGGCTTGTTGTCCCTCTCACCCCACTAAAATAGGAGCCCCATAAAAGCAGGGATCTTTGTCATGTTCATTGCTGTGCCCTCTGAACCTGGAACAGTGCCTGGCACACACAGGAGGTCTTCAGTAACTATTTGGTGACCGAGTAAATGAAAGTTGAGCAGGGAAATCTGGGGCCTCCCCTGTCCAATTCCCACCTGAGTCACATTTTCAGATGCTGCTGGAAAGTGTGAGAGACTGCATGAGTGAGAGTGAGACAGGACAGAGGCCTGGGGTGGGGGGACAGGAAGAAGACGGGGGCGAGTGAGGAAAGGGGAGGGGCTGAACCCCAGCTCTAAAGGCGGCCCTGGGGCCCACAGGCGCCTGTCTGCAGCGTGCAAAGCTCCAGAGTGTTGGGCAATTGCGGTTTCCTCCGAGCCTGAAGGACCCAGGCGTGCCAGCCCTGCCCTGGGCATCTTGGGGCCTCGTCTGCTCGGGCATGGAGGAGACAGTCGTGCAGCCCTCAGTATTCGTGGTGGACGGACAGACAGACATCCCGTTCACGAGGCTGGGGCGAAGCCGCCAGAGACAGCCATGCAGCGCATCCCGGGTGGGCCTGGGTCTCCTGCTGCTGCTAATGGGGGCTGGGCTGGCCACCCAAGGCTGGTTCTTGCTGCAGCTGCACTGGCGTCTGGGGGAGATGGTCACCCGCCTGCCGGTGAGTGGGGGCTGGGGGCTGGCAGAGGGTGGATCTCTTGTGTCACCGTGTGTCACTGTGTGTCTATGTGTGTGCATGTGTGTGGGATGGGGGCTGGACTAAGAGCATCCAGCTTGATCCCTAAGTTGTTGCTTCCAGCCCAGGGCAAGTTAATTCACCTCTCTGAACCTCAGTTTCCTCATCTGTAAAATGGGGATGATAATAGATCACCCACTTCCTAGGGAATGGAGCAGGACACGGTGTGCGTGGTGCCCGGCAGGGGCTGGCCCACACAAGCGGTCACCAGTCCGAACCAACATCCCGACATTGGGATCATTATTAGCGGTACCCTCGTCACTGTTACTGGGATTGTCTCTAATCCTCATGGATTGACTCTCTGAGTCTGTGGGAATCTCTCTCAGTTTGTTTCTGGTTAGCCATGGGTGTGTCTGTCTGTGTTCCACATCTGTGGGTCTGTGGTCCTGCCCTTTGTTCTTTCTGGGGGGGCCGCAGGCCAGTATGGGGCTCTGAACACTTGACCTTGGTGTTTTCAGCACCACGCTCTAACCAAACTGAGCTAACTGGCCCCAGGTCTTGCCCTTTTGCATCCCTTCTCCTTGGGTATGGACCTGGTGGCCAGATGTCTGTGCTGCCGTCCTGTGTACATGAACCCACATGACCATGTGCTCACCTGTCTACAGCCCGTGTATCAGTGTTCTGTGTCTTAGTCTCTGGATCTCTTCTGTCTATAGACACGTGTGGACCCACAAACCATGTGTGCATATGTCCCAGTCCACATGTGTCTTCTCAGTGTGTCATTTAAATGTTGAGGTCTGTGCCCTGTCAGGTGTCCATATCCCAGATTGGTGTCCATGTGTCCAGACATGTATTTTTAATATTATTTATTTGATAAACCCTTCTATAGTGCATGCTATGTGCCAGGCACTGTAATACACTTTACAAATATTAACTCATTAAGTCCTCAGAGATAGGAAGAATGGGATCTAGTGTTCTGTAGTAATATAGAGACTTCAGTTAACAACCAAGTACTGTGTATCTTTGAAATGCTAGTCAAGATGATGCTGAATGTTCTTAACACAAAGAGATGACAAATGTTTGAGGTGATGGATACACTAAGCTCCCTGATAAGACCATTGCACACAGTATGAATGCACTCAAATATCATATCGTACTCCATAAATATATACAATGATCATGCGTCAGTTAAGAAAAATAAATTAAAAAGAGAGAGAAATAGAGAGTAGAATTGTGGTTACCAGAAGCAGGGAAAGGCGGGGGAGCGGGGGAAGGTTGGCAGGCTGGTAAAAAGCTGCCAAGTTACAGTTAGGTAGAATAAACTCTGGTGCTTGAGAGTGGCAATAGCTAATAACATTGTATTGTATATTTCAAGACAGCCAGAAAAGAGGATCTTAAATGTTATAACCACAAAGAAATGATAAATGTTTAGGTGACAGATATGCTAACTATTCTGATTAGATCATTGTGCAATATACGCATGTATTGAAACAACAAACTCTACCCCACAGACATGTACAATGAAAAAAATAAATTTAAAAAATATCCTAAGCAGGCACAATTCATAACTCCATTAACAGAGAGGGAAACTGAGGCACGAGTGGTGATGTGGCTGCTGGGCAGTGTGTGTGTGTGTGTACACGTGTGCACATGTGCACGTGCCCTGTCTACGTGTCTGAGTTTGGTGTATGTGACCATGGTCAGTGTCTCATAGCCATGTGTCTGAGTGATGCCAGGGTGTGGCCCTCTGCAGGTCCTCACCGTGGGCTCCTTTGCATTTTCAGGACAAAGACACAGGCTCCTGGGAGCAGCTGATTCAAGGTGAGTCAAGGTCCTGGATGGTTCCCGCGCTGCCCCTACCCCCTCAGTCCATTGCCCAACGTGATTTGCACAACTGGCCCCAACCCCACAGGTGCCCCTCCCCCAGGCCTGACAAGCAGAAGTTTGGATCACTCCGGAAGGGGTGGGGTTGACACTGGGAGGTAGACACAATGACCCCTTAGGAGGCTGGCCCTTTCTCCCTCTGTCCTTGCCTCTAACCTCTGACCCTCTCTCCACAGAGCGGAGGTCCCACCAGGCCAACCCAGCAGCACACCTCACAGGTGAGGGGGACCCTGCGTCCTGGCATAGGGCAGGTGTCAGGGTGTCCAGGGGAGACCAGACAAATGCCCTGAAATGTCAGCATATTCATTCATTTATTCAATATTTATTCAAAGAGTTGCCCAGAGCACAGGCTGTGGGGGCTATTTCTAATTTTATTTATTTAATAAACCTTTACGTGGTACTTACTCTGTGTCACGCGCTGTAATACACTATATACATATTAATTCATTAGATGCTAAGCAGGTGCTGTTAATATCTCCATTTCACAGGAAGGGAAATAGGCACACAGGTCACAAGGGCGATGGAACCGGGGTGTGTTCTGCTTTGGTTTCTTGGTCCTGCCACTTGCAAGTTTGGACACTTTTGGCAAGTCACTTAATTGCTCAGTACCTCAGTTTCCCCACCTGAAAAAGGGGAATGAAATGAGTTAAGATGCATACTCTAGGCAAGTTACTTTCCTTCTCTGTGCCTCAGTTTCCCTATCTGCAAAGGGGGAATAAAGTGAATTAATACATACAAACAGCTGAGTACAGAAGTAGAAGCTCAGAGAGGAGAAGCGACTAACCCAGGCTCACACAGCAAGAGTGACACATTTACTGACCAGCCCCCTTTTTCTCTCTCTTCGCAGGGGCCAACTCCAGCTTGACAGGCAGTGGGGGGCCACTGCTGTGGAAGACACAGCTGGGCCTGGCCTTCCTGAGGGGTCTTGACTACCGTGATGGTGCCCTGGTGACCCTCCAGGCTGGCTACTATTATATCTACTCCAAGGTGCAGCTGGGTGGTGTGGGCTGCACACAGGGGCTGGCCAGTGGCCTGCCCATCACCCATGGCCTCTACAAGCGCACACCCCGCTACCCTGAAGAGCTGGAACTGCTGGTCAGCCGGCGGTCACCCTGCAGACGGTCAACCAGCTCCCGCATCTGGTGGGACAGCAGCTTCCTGGGTGGCGTGGTACACCTGGAGGCCGGAGAGGAGGTGGTCGTCCGTGTACCGGACGTGCAACCAATCCGACTCCGTGATGGCACCCGGTCCTACTTTGGAGCTTTCATGGTGTGAAGGAAGGAGTGAGGTGGATTGAATGGCATCTTGCAGGCAGAGACCTGAGAGGGTGCCTCAGGAGACAGAAAACCCAGCAAGCAGAGATCTTGGAGGGCACCCCAGGGAAACCCCCCAGCAGGCAAGAGCACAGCAGGTACCGCCAGGGACTAAGAACTCAGACACCCCAAGAGGTCGAAGCCCCAGCAGCTGCCTCTGGAGAAACCACTTAGACTGCAGACCCTGCCACGGACAATACTAAAGACAAAGACCCAGAGACTTGGGGCCTGTAGCCCCCAAGCATGGGGTAAAACTGATTTGCCTGATATTCAGGGAGAAAGGGTGAGGGATGGGTATTTATAGTTTTGATTCAGAAGAAAGTGGGACTTGGGATTCCAGGGATTTGGCTGGGGACGGGAAACTTCATCAACTTCCCCACTCTCATGAGTGTGGGCAGGCAGAGGGGGGGGGATGTATCATCAGGACTCATTCATGTGGACAGCTTAGCCCAGTCATTGTCACATACTCGATCCCCACCCACGGACTTGTGGCCACACTTCAGCCTGGTCACGAAAAGTTAGAGACACAGGCATAGTGATGTGTTGGTGAACATTTAACAACCAGCTCTCCAGGGAGGGAGGCAGCTTTGCAGTGTTTGCTGATTTCCGTGGTGTAAATTTTCTCACCATGGCTGATTTCCAGCTACCGAGATGTCATCAACTGGCTGGCTGTGTCCTGTCACTGCTCAGCACACACATCCCAGCAGGACACCACCGTTGTGTCCTCAGCTCCCAGCCCGGGTCCTGGCACACAGCAGGCACTTGGGAAGTGCTTGCTGATTGAAAGAAAGGAAGGAAGAATGACCGTACGGTCATCGCAGGGAATCCATCTCGTGGCTGCACTAATCTCCGTCACTGCTTCACAATGACAGATTCATACACACAAAGCATCAGATTCACACACAACCACACAATGACCCGTCAGTCATAGACAGCATCACCAGCCATGACACTGCAGGACAACCACATGTAACATAAACACACACAACTCACAGTGTCACAATCACACAGCCACGCACATGGGCCTCACAGTCACACTTGGTAGTGCTCATCACACACGTGGGGCTTCCACATGCCGCATCACAGTCAGACCTGGTTACACACAGCATTGCAATGGCAAACAAACAACATCACACAGCCTGAGCTTCCTCCCCAGCCAAGACTAACACGTCCTGGGGTTAGGAGCAGACCTTGTCCATAGCCCTGGGTCTCTTGACCGCTGCTGGTCTTTGAAATAAATGGCAAACAGTTGCACCTGAACTCATCTGGTTCTTAAGGGAAGAACTTGGTGAAGAAAGTTTGGGCTGGGTTGTCAGTCCCAAACAGTCCCACGGGGAAGGAGAGGAATCAGGTAGGGGCAGCAGTCAGCAATAGGCAGTGGCTCCCAGAGGCAGAGGGATGGATGTAGTGACCCATGGAGGTCATTTTACAAATAAGGAACCTGAACCCAGCTGTCCCAGCTCCATGCAGAAAGCATGGGGAAAATCAGTGACCTCATGCCTGGGTCTGCCTTCTCCTGAAATCCACAATTTCTGAAGAATTGGAAATGACATCCCACAAGGCACCCTTATTGAGCACATCCAGGACAGGGTGACAGCCTACCGCGCCAGTTGGAAACTTGAGAAAGTGAGAGCATGGGAAGGGAGGAGGGGGACAGATAATGATATGCATACAGATCAGACGGCCTATGCAAATTAGCATTGCCACACGTGTGGCTGGAGGGAGGTTTTAGCTCCTAGAATCATAGCATGGGGCTCAGACCCCAGAGGGGAGTGAATTGTCACTGTTGCTACTGTTGATACTGTCCTTGTCACTGTTGTGTGGTACAGGGGTGAACCAAGCAGGCTTTGCAATCAGACAGCCCTGGGTTCCAACTCCACTCTGGCACTTACTGGTTGTGTGACCTTAAGCAAGTCCCATCACCTCTCGGTGCCTCAGTTTCCTCATCTGCAGAATGTGGTGGCTGGGGAGGGGGATAACAACAATTCCGTCCTCTTAGGTTTGTTGTAAAAATTAAAACAGATCAAGCAAGGGAAAAATTGTTTGCTATGGTGTCTGGCACAGAGTAAGAGCTCAACCCATATGCAAGTGCCATAAGGGATTTAGAAATGTTAAGGAGGAATAGCATTTCTTGGGCACTTTTCATATGCCAGGCATCTGGTGGGAGTTACATCTTTATAAACATTCCTCATCCCTGCCTGCACATTTTAGATGCAGACTGTGACCCAAGAGAGGCAGGGATGCCTCCCTCTGCTAAGGGCTCACGGTGAGTCCAGGAAAGTTTCCTACCTCTCTGTCCCCCTCCCCCACTTTTTTAAGGGGTGGCTGGCCAGAACAGGGATCCAAACCCCTGACCTTGGTGTTATAACACCACGCTGCACCAACTGAACTAACCAGCTACCCTTGCTGGGCTGCTGGCAGGTGGGAGGGCCTCAGCCCCCGCTGGAGTTTCCTCTGCTCTCATCATGGTCTTTCTGTTTCGATGGCTTTGATGAGGAGACCAAGGTGTGAGGACAGTGTATTTATAAAAGTCACCAGCAGCCACCCACTTCCGCCTGGGGATGGAACCTCTTGCTAGGTTTAGCCTCCAAAAATCATTCTGGGAGGAGCCTCACAGCCATGAGGAGGGGAGAGAGGAAAAAGGGGAGGTGGGTGTGGAGGAGGGGGTAAGGTGGGATGGAGAGAGGGGGAGGGGCATAAGGAGACGGAGGGAGAGGAGGTGAAAGGAGGAGACAGAGAGAAAAGAGAGGAGGGAGACAGAAAGGGGGGAGGGGGACAAGGGATGTCCCTGCAGGGGTGGAAGCTGGTGCAGCAGGATGCCTAGACCCCAGCTTGATTTCAGATAAAGTATGGGTGCAGGAAAGCCCCTATCCCAGGTCACTGACCTACTTTTTGTCTTCTGAGAAATTTATCTACTCCCTTTCCGCTTACACCTCCTGTGCTCCAGCGTCTTTTCAGATTGTACCCTGCCCCCCACCGTTAACACTTCCTCAGGACCTGAAGCCCCCCATTTGCACCCTACATCCCATCTCTGAGCAGGAAACCCTCCCCCTTCTCTTCATCTCTTGCCAAGACCCAGAGGTGGTAGAAGTAAAAATGATGATGATAAAACAAATTGTTAATTTCATAGCATGCTGCTATGCTCATGCTGCTAAAGCCACTGTGTTCAAGCACTTGAGATGCATCATCACAGAGAAACAGGATGGTTTTTATGCTAGAGACAAACTGCCTGAGTTTGAATCCCTGCACTGCCACTTCCCAGCAGGTTGACTATGGCATCCAACCTTGACTTCTCTGTGTCTCGGTTTCCTTACCTCTAAAACAGGATGAACAGGGGTCTCTACTTTTTTGAGAGATTAAATGATTCAAACTTTTAAATCCTTATTGAGAGATTAAATGATTCAAACTTTTAAGTCCTTTTCTAGAGCTTGGCATGCAGTAAGCTCTTGAATCCTTAGTAGCTGTTCCTTTTGGAAGCATAGTTGTAATCACCTGCACATTCAAATTTCTGATTCTTTCCGGTTATTACATGAAAGATGGCCTCACATTCACAGAGCACATCTAGTCACTGGGTGTGTTTTTAAAATGAGAATTAGTTGTCAATATTTAATCATTAGAAAATTTTGTACCTGGACAAATCCAGATTTCTGGATTTTCTTGGGAAGCTGTGATAAGAGCCCAGGTTGTGAAGTGCCTCTCCCCTTTGGATAGGGCACAGGATCCCCAGCTTGCCACGGTCCCTACCACTCCCAGTTGTCTCCCACACTGAGGGTGAATGTCAGTTACCTTTCATCATCATACTTGTGCTGTTGTTTCTCTTACCCATTAATAATCATTAATTATACCTCACATTTCTAGAGTACTCACTATGTGTCAGGTACTGTGCTAAGTGTACTCATTCACATTAACTCATTTAATTCTCACAATGACTCTGTAGGTGGTAGTTTTGATCCCCATTTTATGGATGAGGAAATGCAGGCACAGAGAGATTAAGTCACTTCTCCCTCAAAGGTGGGAAAATATATGACAGCCTGAGAGGACGACAAGTTTCAAGAAAAATGAGTGTTCATAGTTGTACAAGGATACTTCAAAAGTTTGTGGAAAAATGCAATTAAAAATAACACAAGTCAGGGGCCGGCCTGGTGGCGCACTGCTACAGTGTGCCGCTTGGGAGTGTGGCGGCGCTCCC